CCCGCCTCTCACGCCCCCCCCCCGACCCCCAGCCTGGAAGCCCCCACAGGCACCCCGGGAGAGAGGACCGCTCCTGCCTAGCTGGATGGTGCCAGCTGCTGCCTGGGGAAGTTAAAACGTGTAGTAGCGAGGAGGTACGGGGAGAATCCCACTGTAGTGGAAAGGAATCCACATTCGCCCACCCTATTCCCACCTGCTTTGTTCATTTTTAAATTCTTCAAATGTTTATTAGGATTTTATAAAGGACAAGGGAGTTCTTTCTATTTAACACTCTCATTTCGTCTCAGTTTTTTTTTTTTAAGTCTAAAAAGCTAGCTAACACTTCTGTACCTTGCATTTTTGCTGACGCTATCTCATTTAGCCATCAAAACAAGCCAAAAGAAAGGCTCTAATTCATCTCTGGTTTACTGAGGAGGAACGTTCCCCTGGGCCTTGCCCAGGTCTCAAGACTTGCAGGTGAGCTTTATCTCCATCCAAACCAGGCTGTCGAACCTAGAGCCTGTCAGAGACCTCCACAGGGACAGAGGACAGGCTCCTGGGCCCTTAACGGGAGTCTCTTTTCTTCTCAGCACTAAGGGTCTTGGAATCCCTCTGGTGACAAACTCACCTTCCTAGTTTCTAATCTGAAGCTTCCTTGCCTTTTTTTGTTCACTGTGGAAACAAATGAGGTGGTCATTTCGCTACAGAAAGTAAAGAAGGAATAAAATTGTAAGAAAAATAGAAGCTGGGTGTGGCTTGTGATATATGCCTGTTGTCCCAGCACTCTGGCAGAATCAAGTTCAAGCCCAGATAGGGCAACTTAGTGACTTAGGGAGACTCCATCTTAAAAAAAAAAAAAAGTAGCTCAATATGAAAGCCCTGGGTTTAATCCCCAATAATGTAAAAAGCAAATAAACAAACAATACTGATCACAGATTTCAGAGACATGACTGCTGTCATGGCTTATCTATGGATCAGAGCCTACAGTTTAAAAAACACTTCTAGCTGGGAGTGGCACATGCCTGTACTCCCAGCACTCGGGAGGCTGAGGCAGGAGGATTGCCATGAGTTTGAGGCCAGCCTGGGATACAGAGAGTTCAAGACCAGCCTAAACTAAAAGTGATACCCTGTCTTAAAAGGAAAACAACAACAAAAATGAGACAGTGCAAGAAGATGGATGTGTCCGAAATGTTTTTTTAAAGGCTGGCATCTCATTTTGTTCAGTTTAAATATAGCATGGCAGTTTTAAAACATGTCCACATATCCTTCAGTCCTCCTCCCTGCAAAAGGTGAGGCCTAATCCCCCTCTTGACTGTAGACTGTACTTAGTGACTCACTTCTAATGAACAGACTATAGCTGAGTGATAGCAACTGACTGCCAAGACTTGGTAACAAAAGACTCCATGGCCTCTTCTTTTTGCCTCTTAGATTGCTTGCTCTAAAGGAAGTCAGCTGTTACATGCTGAGAATACGTAAGAAGCCTTATGAAAATGTTCCCATGTTGAGGAACTGATGCCTTTTGCCAAGAACAGGAGAGGAACTGAGGCTTCTCGTCCAAAGCCACATGAGTGAGCCATCATGGAAGAGGCTAAGAAGCCAGCTAAGCCACCTGTAGTATCTCACCTGGATAGACAGCGACTATGCTCATTGCAGTAAGCTACTAAGTTGTGGGTAGTTTGTTCTGTGGCAATAAATAGCTAAGAAAGATTTGGGTGACACACAAGTAGGGTGTTACCATACAAATACCTAAAGTTATATTGCTTTGGAACTGATAATGGGTGGAAGCATGCAGAATTTCCAGCAAGGTTAGTGATATTTTCCTTAAAAACACTATGAGTCTGACAGTCCTGAAGGATACAGCCACCAGTAGAGGCTTCAAGAGATTTGAGAAAAATGCTATTAGAAACTAGAGGTAAGAGCAGAGGACGCGGCTAGGTGGTACAGCGCTGATCCACCAGTGTGGTTTTCCTGAAGCACACTCTTACACCAAGCCCTTCGGGTCAAGAACGCTTTGACTAATCATTAAGGATTTTGCAACCATATGAGACAACAGCTCTTAGGTTAATTATCAGAGTACTTAACATTCCTAGATTGGCTGGATCTTCAGATTCTGTTCCTGAAGACGTGGGAGGGCCAACTACGTATGCATTCAGCAAGGTTAAAGAAATGAGATTCAAGAAAGATACTTAGATCTTCACACAGAAAGATTCCTTGTTTTGGACCTGGGGTTACTTTCTTGAATAAGAAAGCTGTGAAGCTCACTTCAGATGACCAAATGGAAAGTGCAGCAGCCCAGCTGATATGTTCTGATGCGCAGCAGATTATATAGACTCCAGGGTGTTGCTAGGTGCAGACTTTGAAGCTGAGGTGCAGAAGGCTAAGCAGGCTTTTAGAAGCTGCTCTTGGTGTGCTAGCTGACCAGGAGAACTGAGAGCTGGTTGGTGTTCAAGGTAGTCTAGGAGAGGACACGCCCTTCTTACTGGGCTGTACGCCCTGGAAAGCCAGGCTTACTAAGGAAGCATTTCCTTGCCCACTGCCTTGGTTCCAATTCAATGGAGCTGGCGGCAGCCTTGGCCGACCTCCAGACAGAGGCTAGCTGTCCCATCTGTCTAGGATACTTGAAAAACCCAGTGACAATCTACTGTGGGCACAACTTCTGCCTCCCCTGCATCAGTGAGTCCTGGAAGGATCTAAAAGTCAGTTTCCCTTGCCCTTCTTGCCATTATCTCTGTCCACACAGAAAATTCCAAAACAATTTCCAGCTAGGTAATCTGACTGAAGTGGCTAAGCTACTGCCGCTGAGAAGGAGCAAGAGAAAAAGGGAGGAAGGGAATGTTATGTGTGAGAAGCACAAACAGGTTCTGACTGTTTTCTGCCAAAAGGACCTAGAGGTTTTGTGTCCACAGTGCAGTTTCTCTGCTGATCACCAGCAGCACTATGTCTGGCCCATAGAGAAGGCCACTGTCTATCATAGGAAACAGCTAGAGCAGCACAGCGAGCTCTGGAAGGAGAGAGTGGAACAGATTGAAAAAGTGATTACTATGCAGGCTGGAAAATCAGTGGAACTTAAGAAAAAGGTAGAACATAGGAAAGAAGAAATAAAGTCTGAATTCGAACAGTTTATGCTGTTTCTTCAAAATGAGCAAGAGACTATTCTTAGGCAATTGCAAGATGAAGAGAAGGAGATTTCAGCAAAAGTAAATGAAAACCTAGCAGACATTTCAGAGCATGCCTCTGCATTAAAATATCTATTAAAGGAGATAGAGAGCAAACATATAAAGTCAGAAGTTGATTTGCTGACAAGTATTAAGAGTATCTACCACAGATATAACAGCTTAAAATGCCCTGAAATTTTTTCATTCCAATTCAAAGATTATAGTTGCCAGCTTCCTCCACAATATTCTGGACTAAACAAAATTATCAAGTGATTTCAAGTAGATGTACTCCTAGATCCTGAAACAGCACATCGTAAACTTACTATCTCAGAAGATAGGAAAACTGTGCATTATGGAAATATGCAAAAACTACCTCATAGCCCAAAAAAGTTTTACATCTGGCCAGCAGTACTAGGGGCTAAGGGGTACAGCTCTGGCAGGCAGTACTGGGAGGTGGAGGTGAAAGACAAGCCCGAGTGGATCCTGGGTGTCTGTAATGAGTCTCTTCTCAGAAGGAAGAAGAACCAGAATCAACCCTTTTTAGTAAAAGAGGGGCTATGGGGAATTGGGCGATATAGTCACACTAGTTACATTGCATTCGGTGCTAAGAAAATTAATCTTTTACCAAAAGTAATACCCACTAAGATCGGCATTTTCTTAGGCACTGAAATGGGTGAGGTTTCCTTTTACAATTTAAATGATAGATCTCTTCTGTGTACTTTTAATGATTATTTTGGAGAAGCACTTTGGCCTTATTTCTACACTGGAACTGAGTCACGACCCCTCAGAATCTGTACCATAACAGATTCTGAATGATGAGCTATTGCAAATCTCTTTTGTTGTTTGTTTTTTACAGTTAGTGGACATAATAGTACCAGTTATCAAGCAAATATTTAATAAAATTCAATTTGAATAGATAGCATCTATTCAAATAGATGTAGTTGATGGGTTTTTCCAGTTTTCACTAAATAATTTTGTCTTTCATCAGGTTCTAAAAAATGTAATTATAGTGCCTTCTTTGTAGATAAATCAAGGGGGTCCTACTAGAAGTTCTTAAAATACTTGGAAATTGTATTTAACTGAATGTATTACTCTAGTAGTTGTCAATAAATCTACATTCATTAAAAAAAAAAAAAGAAACTAGAGGTAAAAGATTCCTTTGTCATACAGTAGCAGAAAGCCTAGCATAATGTAGAAAGAAAAAATATCTAAGAAATTGGATATTCTAGCCAGATTTTGAGGCAGTATGTTGAAGCTGTCACGTTGCTTATTCTTGCTGCTTATAATAAATCTGAGAAACTACAACCTGGACTATTAGAAAGGGTTCAGGAGAGGTGTGGCGCCCCCTACACATGAACAAGCAGACCCACACCCCTGCCACTCATGCAAGAATGAGACCATCCACCAACTCCAAGCTGGCTCTACATTTTGCTTCCCCTCAGCACAGGGCAGCATGAGAATGCAAACAAGTACAACCACTGTGGAGATCAGTATGGAGATTCCTCAAAAAACTGAAACTACCCAGCTATTCCCCTTCTATGTATCTTCCCCAAAGAGTTACACACATCGTACTACAGTGATTCATGCATACCC